CACACACACACACACACACACACACACACACACACACACACACACACACACACACACACACACACACACACACACACACACACACACACACACACACACACACACACACACACACACACACACAGACAGACAGACAGACAGACAGACAGACAGACAGACAGACAGACAGACAGACAGACAGCGTCTGACCTGATGTTGAGGCCGGTAGATTGCCCGATGTTTTCCCAGGCTCGGAGCTTCTCCGCCAACCTCTAAGGATCCAAGAAACATTAGGTCACCCGTTTGTCCATGTATTGGACCTACATGCTACTGTTATTATCATGGCAGCAGTCAAAAGCAAGACAGTTGAACAAAATAACTGAAAATAACTTTTGAAAAACTATAAATTATTCAATAGGATAATGATATGCTACAGAGTGAAAAACACTTCACAACTCCACGTGGTCTTGGGTTTACCTCCTTCTCCAGTTCCATATTCACCAGCTCTTCCTTCGCTTTCTCCATCCTCTCCAGCTTCCTCCTCAGCCCCACCACCTCCTCTTTCAACAGGCTGCAGTTCTCCCTGCTCTCCCTGGACAGCCGGAGGGAGAAGAGCAAAAACAAACCTCAACATTAGCTTCAAGGCTGTGGAAATGGCATTTTTTTCAGTAGCAAGTTCACAGAAACTAAATCTATGAGCACACGATGAAAAATAAAACATTTAGAACTGGGTAACATGATCGCATTATTCTTATAATTCTAAATCAACAGCTTATATGTCATTTCCCTCTAAAAAGAAAAAGGTTTTGTTTCGTTTTTTTTTTTACACCTTTTAGTACTGCAGACAACCAATAGATGAAAACAGTGATGACGGATGTTATCAGAGAATTTATGTTCCGACTAGATATTATTTTACCCATACTGCTTCTATTCAAGGAAAATATGCTTATTTAAAAATCAGCAATGACTTAATGTGTGACCATGCCGTTACAGTATATTCAGCAGAATTCTAGTTGTGTAACCGACATCATTTTATAATACATTATCTTCAGAAATGAAATGGAGTTTCATGCTTTAAATTTCACCTTGAGCCTGATGGATGCTGTGTTTCTGCACTGACTCTTGATGAGATCAACATTTTTAATGCGGCAAGACTTTTCTCCCACTTTCCCTCCTCAAAAGCTACCACCTAATGCCTCCTTGTGCGGCATGAGGACCCAAAGTCACGCTGACATGTCGAAGCAGACTTTCTGACCACTGTTGTGTCGCACTAGGCGGTAGTCTATTCTGTTGAAAGGCATTAAAACATTGAAAATGTATTTGACCTGAGAAAGGCATTATCCTCTCTGAGGCGCTTCACATCCTTCTCCAGGTCTGGAACCTTGGCCACCTCTGACTTTACATTCTTTACGATGGCAAAGTCTTGCTCCTGGAGGGCGAGACGCCTCTCCAACTCCTGTCAAAACGTGAAGAGAGAAATGAAATACCAACAGCACGTGTGTATTGGGTCCACTGCTAAAGCATTCACTGCCCTTTGTTTCACATATAGGAACCTTTGAATGACGTTATTCAAACATTATCACGTAAAAAAGTGAGGTAAAAACATTCCAAACAAACATTTTAAAATGGAAAAAGTAAGTAAATTAGAAAGCCAACATGTCCAATAACTCAAATGATAAACTATACATGTGACATCGAGTATGTTTAGAAGACTTACAGTTTGTAATGATATGGGATATGATGCGACTCACTCTGCATGTAAACACCACATTGCTGTATACAATATCCTTAGACTATCACGGTTTGTGATTGTCAGTAATCAGTAATGTCAGCTGTGTGTAACACACCTTAATCTTGATGATGTGCTCTGAGCAGGAGGTCTGGGCCGCTTGGAGACTTTGGCAAAGCTGAGAGACTTCCTGATGCTTCCTGATTATAATACCAAGCAGAGAGAAGTGTTAGGTCAGCGTTTTTCTTGCGCAGTACAGCATGAAACAGAGCTAGTAGCAAGTTGGTAGTCTCAGTGTGTGCCTGTACCTGCGCTGTAAATCTAACTGTTCCTGCAGTTCCTGGTTTTCAAGGGTTTGAGAAGAAACTGCCGAGTCTTGGTTTTGAATCTTCTGCTTCAGCTCTCGGATCTCATCCTTCAAAGAACTGATGGTCTGGGAACAGATTACAGAAGTAAGTCAAGGTAACATAAGAGACATAACCAGTGTACAGAAGCAGTAAATGTGTGTGTGCGTGCGTACCTGGTTAGCGGTGTTCAGTCTCGTATCTCGCTCCTCCAGTTTCCTGTTCAGGCCGTCCAGGTTCTTACGTAGAGAACGATTTACCGTCAGCTGCTCGGAGAGGTTCTTAGCTGCCTCCGTCTCTCTGTCCTCTAACTTTTTTATTCGCCCCAAGAGATCCTGGTTCCGGTCAACCTCATGCTGTTGCATAAAAAGGTGAGGTACAAGTTTTACCCAATGTCCTCTCTGATGTTCATTTGTGTTATATGGATGTGTAAGGGTGCGAGACCTGTACCTCGAAGTCTCGTGCGCTGTCAGAAGCAGCCCTCTCGAGTTCATATCGAGCTCGCTTGTGACTCAGCTCCATCTGCTTCTTCTCCTGGTCCAGCTGAAGGTAGCGATTCTTGGATTGAACCTTCTCTGCTGCTTCCAACAACTACAGGGAGAAACAAGTCAGTCAGTGCTGAAGGTTGCATGTTAACACCGCCTTCACAAAGCTTACTGTAGATGCTGTCAGTTTCTGTATACCTCCATGCTGCGTTTGTACTGATTCTGCAGGTTTGCAGGTCCTGCTGAGTGCTCCGACAGCCGCTGTGGAGGGTCAGTGCGGCTGATGAAGGAATTGAAGGACTTCAAGGTTGTTAATACAGTGGTGTCATCTTCCAAGTCCATGTTTAGAGTCACTGGTGTTCTAATGCAGAGATGGAAGGTTCAGGGATAAGAGCAGGAGTCAGTAAAGCTATACTGCAGAAATAGAAACAAAACAACACAGCTATGTCAGCTAATGCATGATAGATAGATAGATAGATAGATATAAAACACCAATGGCTAGCCGTTAGCTAACATTAAATAAAAGATAGCTATGTAACTGCTGCTAAAACTAGCTTCCTGTCTCACCAACACAAACAGCAACAGAAGTTATCCAAGTTAAGCTAGCAGCTAAAAATAAAAGCTAATGTTTAGGCGCTACATAACGTACAATCTTAAGAGAACCAGCTAGCATTTCCGTTAATACAGTTTGCACTTTGAAGCATATGTCCTCACCTCAGTACTGACTTGTTTGTGAAGAGTAGCGGGCTAGTAGCAACGTTAGATACGTTATCTTCGCACTGCTAGCATGTTAGCTCCACACTCTGCATACAGAAATCCCTCCAGTTGCGCTCAAATGAGATACGTGAAGTATCGCGAGACTTCTTTACATATCGCGAGAGTGTCGGTTTCAGACTGCTTCTGATGGGTGGAGGGGAAAATAAACTTCACAGCAGCGCTGCAAACTTGTTTTACACGACTAAACACGTGTTTGCACGCTGGAAAATTAGTAAAATAAATTCAAGTAAAAGTATGTCAGGGTTTTGGACCTCGGGCCGTAGATAAGGAGCTGTTATGGGAGGTTTTTATGAGGAGACAATACATTATTTAGCCTCTAATATTAATGCATCTTCGGGGGGATGGAGTCAGAAAGAAGACTAAAGCAATGAAGATCACCATCAACACCACATTTGACAGCTTTTTAGACATTGGCCTAATACAATAGAGGAAATAACAACAGAATACATTGGAATAATTTAGTATATTAAACAATTTATATCACCAGCTTGGCACCTGTTTGTAGGCTATACGAGGAAGAATGTTCCTTCATTGACATCATGTAGTTGCATAGTTTTTCCCACAGAGAGCAGCACCGCTATATTCATCAGTGCATTTAACAGGATGTTGAATGAGCTGGACAACAGCAAGCTGTGACTGGCTCTTCATTATGAAAATGCACATGCTATTCTCACATTAAGTGTGAACAAATAAATATAGGTATTGTACCCACATAGCAAAGTGATAGGGCACTGTCGGCATTCATTTGAGCACTGACATTCATATTGACCCAAGTGTGGCGCTAATTACACAGTTTTAAAGATGACAAATGGGCTGATTTGAGCCACAATGTTGTGGCCAGAGGCATCAGAATCCATGTTGAATTTAATCACCACAAACTACCACAAATAAGGCTCCTGATGCAAACTTGATTTAGCTACAAAGATCCAAAGTTACTCAACCTAACCAACAATGATTCTTATTGTTACAGTGTCCAGTTAGCTTTGTGCATAAATACTGTCAAATAAGGGAATCAGCCACAGCATAGCTCCCAAGGACTGCCTGAATGCTCAGAGTGTTCCTTATAGCATACATTAATGCATTTTGATATGTGGGAAGAAAGGATGTATGTAAACACAATGGGGGGGGGGAAGCCCAGAGAGGACCAAGGCCTCACCGAGCTGCTGTGTCAAACAAATAAGCAGAGAAATCACAGAGTACAGAGATGCATACATAGAAGTCATCCCAATTACTTTCCCAGGTCCCAAGCAGCCACAGAGAGGAATCACTCTATGTGCAAACAGTTGGATTTATTTATGATCTCGGATAAACGTTGTTTACTTGTTTCAAAGCTCAAGACAAACCACAACCCCTCTGAACTTAAGTGGCAAACAATCTAAATACCATCACTAACCTCCCTAATTTAAGGAGAAAACAATCCACACAGGATTTTTTACAGTATTTAATAGTCTTCAGGAAATGGTCAGTAACAACACCTTTACATCCTCGAGATTAGCTTTCTAATCCAGAGCTATTTGCAGCACCAGTAAACAAGCTTTAACTACCTATTGACCACACCAACTTCCCCATGGAGAGCAGCAGGTCAATAGGTCAGAGCCGATGCCCTCCCTCCACCAATATTCATGTGAGAAAAGAGCTGGATAAAAGCTAGGGGAGCCCCAGAGAGCAGGGTCTTTAAAGGTTGTGCGAGATCCAAGAGGGACAGTGTGGAGGGCTGTGAATTTGTCTGAAAAGGTCAGACAGAAGACACGTCCTCCTCAGAGTGACATCAGCGCTCCCGTCCTCTCCTTCACTGTCTCTTTCTGTCTCGTCCTTTCAGCCCCAAGAGTATTCTGTGTGTTTCGGTCCGCTGTCCTCACGCCCCCTGCCCCTCCCGTCGCTCTTGTCTCCTTTTCTGGGACCCCATATCTCACCTGCTCAGCGGCACAATAACACTTTTCTCGCCCCCACTGTCTGTCTTTATTCGTCTCACTCAGTCGCTCCCCCTTCTCTCTCGGGTATCCTGTCGCCCTCCTCGTCGTCTCCACCTCCCCTCGCCCTCCTGAGGTCGGCCTGGATGCAGCCATCTCTGAAAGATGACGTAAATGCACAAAAACACACACACACACACACGCACTCACACACCCACACACACATTCAGATGCGCATACATGTTTACACACACACCATAAGAAGTAAATCAGCAGAAGTGCCTGCAGATGTGCCCTTCATTGCCATCTGCTGTGAAACAAATGTGAAAGCGGCTCAGAGAACGCCATCTTACATTCAGTGGCTTTCCCACCCACAGCATGTAAACATCACCACAAACATACACTCACCGGCCACTTTATTAGGCACACCTGTTCAATTGCTTGTTAACACAAATAGATAATCAGCCAATCACATGGCAGCAACTCAATGCATTTAGGCATCTAAACGTGGTGAAGACGACTGGCTGAAGTTCAAAGCAAGCATCAGAATGGGGAAGAAAGGGGATTTAAGTGACCTTGAATGGTTGTTGGTGTCAGACGGGCTGGTCTGAGTTTTTCAAAAACTGCTGATCTACTGGGATTTTCACGCACAACCATCTCTAGGGTTTACAGAGAATGGTCCGAAAAAGAGAAGATATCCAGTGAGCGGCAGTTGTTTGGACGAAAATGCCTTGTTGATGTCAGAGGTCAGAGGAGAATGGGCAGAGTGGTTCGAGATGATAGAAAGGCAACATTAACTCAAATAACCACTCGTTACAACCGAGGTATGCAGAATACCATCTCTGAATGCACAACACGTGGAACCTCGAAGCAGACGGGCTACAGCAGCAGAAGACCACACCGGGTGCCACTCCTGTCAGCTAAGAACAGGAAACTGAGGCTACAAGTCGCACAGGCTCACCAAAATTGGACAATAGAAGATTGGAAAAACGTTGCCTGGTCTGGTGAGTCTCGATTTCAGCTGCGACATTCAGATGGTAGGGTCAGAACTTGGCGTAAACAACATGAAAGCATGGATCCATCCTGCCTCGTATCAACGGTTCAGGCTGGTGGTGGTGGTGTAATGGTGTGGGGGATATTTTCTTGGCACACTTTGGGCCCATTAGTACCAATTGAGCGTCGTTTAAACGCCACGGCCTACCTGAGTATTGTTGCTGACCATGTCCATCCCTTTAGGACCACAGTATACCCATCTCCTGATGGCTTCTTCCAGCAGGATGAGGCACCATGTCACAAAGCTCAAATCATCTCAAACTGCTTTCTTGAACATGACAATGAGTTCACTGTACTCCAATGGCCTCCAGAGTCACCACATCTCAATCCAATAGAGCACCTTTGGGATGTGGTGGAACGGGAGATTCGCATCATGGATGCGCAACTGACAAATCTGCAGCAACTGCGTGATGCCATCATGTCAATATGGACCAAAATCTGTGAGGAATGTTTCCAACACCTTGTTGAATCTATGCTACGAAGAATTAAGGCAGTTCTGAAGGCAAAAGGGGTCCAACCCAGTACTAGCAAGGTGTACCTAATAAAGTGGCTGGTGAGTGTATATGCTTCAGTTTTATGTAAATTGTAAGGCGTTTGGCAGCTGACATCTAATCTATATAAATCTACTTTATACTTCGTTATCTTGTCTTGTTGGTAGCAACTTTTAAATCTTTTCAATTAAGTTCAGAATAATGAGAACAAATAATCTGTTGATGCAAATAGCCGTAAAAAAAGAAGCTTTTAGCATCACCAGTCAATTAAGGCGGTGTAGTTAAGTCTTTCAACCCAATCACCACACACTATTAAGCTTTTTTGCACAACTCCTTTCATTGCTTCAGCGCATTTGAATCGTCTTTTTATCTCCTTTATTTCATATTCACGTCGCGTTAATATTTTTTTATTTTTGAGCCACGACGTCTTTGTGATGCAGAAAATGCCCCGCATGGGAGCTGCTGTGTGAAGGGGCCGGAAATAGAAGTGAAGTCAGTCAAATCATGTTTCGCTCACAGTAGACAGAGAGAGAGAGCGACATCACTCCAAGGTCCCGCAGACACAAAGTGTTGATTACATAACGAATTTAACAACTGTGACTATGTGAGGAGAGGACTGAGGAGGAAAGTGGGCAATGTGGAGGAAAAAAATAATATTAAATATAAGAGGAAGCAGAGGGCGAGGACAGAAGAAATGGGAATTTGCAGAGAGAGGGATGGAAAAAAAGGAAGACATAAAGGAGGATAATGCCCCAAAAAAAGCACAGAGATGGACTGAAAAACAATGTCAGGGATGAAATGAGGCAAAGGTTACAGACTCTGAATCAATAAAGTAGTGATTTTAGAGTCTTCTAATGAAGGAGGACAGAGTCAATAGCTGATTCAAGCTTCCTGTGTTGTCGAGCCCCAGGCAATACTTCAACAATATTAGTTTATGGGTGACGTGCATGCTCGTATATGCTCAGGCACGCAAACATACACACACACACACACACACACACACACACAGTGAGAGAGGGGGGAGGGTGGGGGTGTGGACGGATGAAAAAGGCGACTGATGATGCATAAACAAACCAAAATCAGAAATTATAAATAAATCGCACTTACTAATTAATAAAATAAGCAAACACAGTGAAGCACTCAAGATGGGGAGGGGAGGGTGTGTTACACATGCTCTGAAGACCCCCCCCCCAAAGTTTTCCAACATCCAGAACATTTCTGCAGTCCGCAGGCCAGCCCTCCAGGGAGCAGCAATGTCGTCAGTGCAGAACACATCACAAAAGCATGAGCGTTTCTCTTCTGCACTACCCCAAATGTAAATCTAAAAGTATACATTATAGGCTACATAGCATGATTGTGTGAGTGTGTGTAGTCTGCATTTTATTTCCACGAACTGCTGCCACTCACCTGTTTTCAGATCAATAATCTACCCAACAGCATTTCCATTGGGACTCAGTTGGGACGAGGATGGGACTTGCGTTGGTGTGTGTTGGTAGTGCGTCTAATGTGAGCCATCGGCTGGAACACAACCAATCGCACTGATGCGCTTTTAGCCGCAGGGTGGTTCGATTGACATGCAGAAAGAAGAAGC